CCAAGCCCAAACCCAAAGCCCAAACCCAAGCCCAAACCCAAGCCCAAGCCCAAGCCCAAACCCAAGCCCAAACCCAAACCCAAGCCCAAACCCAAGCCCAAGCCCAAACCCAAGCCCAAGCCCAAGCCCAAACCCAAGCCCAAGCCCAAGCCCAAGCCCAAACCCAAGCCCAAACCCAAGCCCAAGCCCAAACCCAAGCCCAAACCCAAGCCAAGCCCAAGCCCAAGCCCAAGCCCAAGCCCAGGCCCCAGGCCCAGGCCCAGGCCCAGGCCCAGGCCCAGGCCCAGGCCCAGGCCCAGGCCCAGCCCAGGCCCAGGCCCAGGCCCAGGCCCAGGCCCAGGCCCAGGCCCAGGCCCAGGCCCAGGCCCAGGCCCAGGCCCAGGCCCAGGCCCAGGCCCAGGCCCAGGCCCAGGCCCAGGCCCAGGCCCAGGCCCAGGGCCCAGGCCCAGGCCCAGGCCCAGGCCCAGGCCCAGGCCCAGGCCCAGGCCCAGGCCCCAGGCCCAGGCCCAGGCCCAGGCCCAGGCCCAGGCCCAGGCCCAGGCCCAGGAGCCCAGGCCCAGGCCCAGGCCCAGGCCCAGGCCCAGGCCCAGGCCCAGGCCCAGGCCCAGGCCCAGGCCCAGGCCCAGGCCCAGGCCCAGGCCCAGGCCCAGGCCCAGGCCCAGGCCCAGGCCCAGGCCCAGGGCCCAGGCCCAGGCCCAGGCCCAGGCCCAGGCCCAGGCCCAGGCCCAGGCCCAGGCCCAGGCCCAGGCCCAGGCCCAGGCCCCAGGCCCAGGCCCAGGCCCAGGCCCAGGCCCAGGCCCAGGCCCAGGCCCAGGCCCAGGCCCAGGCCCCAGGCCCAGGCCCAGGCCCAGGCCCAGGCCCAGGCCCAGGCCCAGGCCCAGAGCCCAGGCCCAGGCCCAGGCCCAGGCCCAGGCCCAGGCCCAGGCCCAGGCCCAGGCCCAGGCCCAGGCCCAGGCCCAGGCCCCAGGCCCAGGCCCAGGCCCAGGCCCAGAGCCCAGGCCCAGGCCCAGGCCCAGGCCCAGGCCCAGGCCCAGGCCCAGGCCCAGGCCCAGGCCCAGGCCCAGGCCCAGGCCCAGGCCCAGGCCCAGGCCCAGGCCCAGGCCCAGGCCCAGGCCCAGGCCCAGGCCCAGGCCCAGGCCCAGGCCCAGGCCCCAGGCCCAGGCCCAGGCCCAGGCCCAGGCCCAGGCCCAGGCCCAGGCCCAGGCCCAGGCCCAGGCCCAGGCCCAGGCCCAGGCCCAGGCCCAGGCCCAGGCCCAGGCCCAGGCCCAGGCCCAGGCCCAGGCCCAGGCCCAGGCCCAGGCCCAGGCCCAGGCCCAGGCCCAGGCCCAGGCCCAGGCCCAGGCCCAGGCCAGGCCCAGGCCCAGGCCCAGGCCCAGGCCCAGGCCCAGGCCCAGGCCCAGGCCCAGGCCCAGGCCCAGGCCCAGGCCCAGGCCCAGGCCCAGGCCCAGGCCCAGGCCCAGGCCCAGGCCCAGGCCCAGGCCCAGGCCCAGGCCCAGGCCCAGGCCCAGGCCCAGGCCCAGGCCCAGGCCCAGGCCCAGGCCCAGGCCCAGGCCCAGGCCCAGGCCCAGGCCCAGGCCCAGGCCCAGGCCCAGGCCCAGGCCCAGGCCCAGGCCCAGGCCCAAACCCAAACCCAAACCCAAACCCAAACCCAAACCCAAACCCAAACCCAAACCCAAACCCAAACCCAAACCCAAACCCAAACCCAAACCCAAACCCAAACCCAAACCCAAACCCAAACCCAAACCCAAACCCAAACCCAAACCCAAACCCAAACCCAAACCCAAACCCAAACCCAAACCCAAACCCAAACCCAAACCCAAACCCAAACCCAAACCCAAACCCAAACCCAAACCCAAACCCAAACCCAAACCCAAACCCAAACCCAAACCCAAACCCAAACCCAAACCCAAACCCAAACCCAAACCCAAACCCAAACCCAAACCCAAACCCAAACCCAAACCCAAACCCAAACCCAAACCCAAACCCAAACCCAAACCCAAACCCAAACCCAAACCCAAACCCAAACCCAAACCCAAACCCAAACCCAAACCCAAACCCAAACCCAAACCCAAACCCAAACCCAAACCCAAACCCAAACCCAAACCCAAACCCAAACCCAAACCCAAACCCAAACCCAAACCCAAACCCAAACCCAAACCCAAACCCAAACCCAAACCCAAACCCAAACCCAAACCCAAACCCAAACCCAAACCCAAACCCAAACCCAAACCCAAACCCAAACCCAAACCCAAACCCAAACCCAAACCCAAACCCAAACCCAAACCCAAACCCAAACCCAAACCCAAACCCAAACCCAAACCCAAACCCAAACCCAAACCCAAACCCAAACCCAAACCCAAACCCAAACCCAAACCCAAACCCAAACCCAAACCCAAACCCAAACCCAAACCCAAACCCAAACCCAAACCCAAACCCAAACCCAAACCCAAACCCAAACCCAAACCCAAACCCAAACCCAAACCCAAACCCAAACCCAAACCCAAACCCAAACCCAAACCCAAACCCAAACCCAAACCCAAACCCAAACCCAAACCCAAACCCAAACCCAAACCCAAACCCAAACCCAAACCCAAACCCAAACCCAAACCCAAACCCAATGGCCTTCTCCTTCCACTTTTTCAACATGGCCGTCAATATCATGTCCAACTTCTTTACAAACATTTACAATATATTTCACCACATAATCTCGAATAAGTTCTTCAGTACAGAATGGACTCATTGGGAAGGCCTTAATAGCAGACAATGCAAGTCCATGTTTGTTTTTTCTGAAATTTCTAGTGTAGGAGAGAGCAGGTCCATCTTCTTCGATTCGTTTCAAGTGAAGAATGTTTGCAATATGTTTTTGATAATCGTTGGATTTGTTAACAACTGTGGCATCACTCTCTTCAAATTCTTTTTTGTATTGCTCTTTGGCATTGATTCCTTCTGGATAGACTCTGAAGAGTGTCACAAATCCATTATCCAAATCATTTACAATGACAATGTTCTCAAATTCAGAGAGAGCGGTACGAAGTGCATGTTGAACACTCACCAAATGAGCAATCATTGACTGATAACCCTCAATTCCAAACAATAACAAAGTGCTATAGGCAGACAAGCACATGGCAGGTCTCGAGCATTCGAGTGTGTAGCATCCAGGTTTGTACACAGAGAAATTATACAAGTAATACATGAACTCTTTGGGACGTGATAGATTCTCTTCAAATTCTTTTCTGTCTTTGAATAAGACACAACTACAGACGTAGTGAGAAAATCCAGTCTTGTGGAAATCAATTCCAACAGCGTCTGCCAAATTCATGAATTGAATTCTTTCAAACACACTCTTAATGGCAGGAAGGACATATTGAGTGTCAATTTGGAGAGGATTCTTCTCAAAATCATAATAACGGAAGAAGAGCCATGGCCATCCAATCACAGAATCGACGTAAACGAAGGGTTTGTAATCGAGTTGATATTCCTCAACAATCTTGTCACGAATTTCCACAATGCTGCGAACATCATCGACACCGAATGGGTCCGTCGATCCACAGGTAGCAATAATGCATGCAATTTTTTCCTTGTTGCGAGCAGATTCGGAGAGTTTCTTGTAGAGGTCATCCATATTCATCGAATTGTCATCATTGATGCCAATACCAACAACATTGTCCATTCCAATACCACACCAATCACAGGTGTTAAATTTGCAATAGTGACCAATCTCAGAGACAAAAACCTTTACATGATCACTATCACGAATACCTTTGTAACGATATTTCATTCCGAGACACCTTGCTAAAGCAACTTTGAGGGCATACTGATGTTGTTTTGGGTTTCATTAAAAAGGCAAAAATTCATGTTCATAAATCATTCGCAGTTCATCAACAATAAACCATCATCATTAAGGGTTTAAAATTTCACAATGATGACGACTTACCAATTCATTTCCTGTTCCTCCAAAAGTAAATATTCCATTCGCAGTTTGTGGATCCCAACCGACCAATTTCGATAACATTCCCAAAGATTCAATTTCTGTCAATGAAACATTCCAAGCAAATTCATCGTGGACCACTGCCACGTTGTACAATGAACCAAAGAAGGAACTAATCAATGCTGGAATATTTGCAGGAGGATTCACATTTTCCAAATTCACTGGAGAGGAAAGATCCATCACACCGTGAAAATACTCTGAAACTTTAGAAATGACTTGTTTTGGTGTGGAAGGATGAAGTGGAAGCTCTGCTTTGGCTCTATAATTGGCAATATCTTCCTCAGCATTGAGAATTCTTTCAGCCTTACCAATGAAGGAACTGTGTGGATTGTCCGTATGTTTGAGTTTCAAGATTTCATCGAGGGAATGTTTCATCAGATCTTCAAAGCTGCGATCTCGTTTCTCATCGAGAATGGGAGATGGGTAAGCAGGTTGAATTTGTTCTTGAACAATCTTTTGGAAGAGTGGTACACGAGTTTTGGTTTTTGAGGGAATGTGTTGTTGTTTCTGTTTGGATTTTCCTGAAGGTCCAGCAGTAGACTTTTGTTTGGCAACTTTCTTGAGTTCGACCATTCTTGGTGTTTGCTTGAATTAATACAATAATGGATTGCTTTGATTTGTGAATTGGATTGAAAATCAATCTAAAGATATGGAAGTATAACAAATTCAAAGGTGATTCAGCGTTATATGAAAATGTTCAAACTGGTGGAGTCTGTTTTTTAGAGAATAAACGTGCTTGCTTTTGACGAGTAATCTTTGTGCAATGCAATCATTTGGTTGGATTTGTAAGTGGAAAGTGTTTGCTTGACAAATTCAGAAAAGGAAGCAACACATAATCGAGTAATTTCCTTCAAAGAGTATTCAACAAATTGAGCGATTTAGTGGTACACCATTCCTCTAATGGTCAATTCGTTGTTGTTGTTCAATGTGGCCATTCTTTTGAACATGCATTTCAGAGATGTACAGTCCTCAACATTAAGAAAATACTTTAAAGAAATTATTTTGAATTTCGAAACTTTGTGAAGATGCAGAACTTTATAACATCTTCTCTTTCAAGTTGAATTCACCATTGCGCTTGGGTTTTCACTCATTCCGAACATACGATGATAGCCATTCAATCAAAAAGGCTGATGGATAGGCCGATTAATCAATTTTTTTTCGCAACAAACAAAAATGCAACGACGTCTCAAGCCTTTCCTTTCCAACTCTTCTCTATGTAAAACATGGATTGGACTGGAAGGAGGCTCTCCTTCCGTTCTCACCAACAATGGACATCATAGACTTGCCTTGAGAAGAAATAATAATAATACTACTACTAACAACCAATGTTATGCTTCCTATTCAACCACAACAACCTCTCATCAGTCTGCCACAAGTGTTGCCGTGAATGAAGAGACATTTCCATCGAGGCCATCACCATCGGAATTGATTTCAGAGGAAGCACAAACCGCCTCAGCACCATCACTCTCACCTGCAGAAATGGCTACTTCAGAGCAAGCAGCTTTGGAGGCTATGGAGAGAAAAATTCTATGTGTTGCCATCGATTTTTGAACAATACGGTACTCCGAGACCACCCACCATCTCTCTCATTCATCAATTTACGGACGGAAAGGCTGCTTTTGAATTTCAATCACAAGATAATGTTGAATCTCTAACTGCACAATTACCAAATATTGACAAGACATATCCTAATCCTAACCTTGCCCAATACTATGAACAACATAATGCACAACTTCAATCCCGAACCTTAAAAGATAATATTGTGGATTCACAACCATACTACCGTCTTTCTAGTTTTAATTATAGCGCACTAAGATATAGCTTACTCAGAGCGGGATTTAAGAGATTAGGAAAGGACGTTCCTGTGGTTGAGAGAGGATTTATGAGTGCAGACGAGGAGGAAAAGGAGAGACGTTTCGAAAGTTTCATCAAGGAACCATTTTCAATTTTCTGGGGACGTCACTTGCCTGCTCACTTTTATCAACACTTGAATGCATTTCAAAAAGTGAATCATTTTCCAGGATCAACAAATTTAGGTCGAAAGGATTTACTCTTCATTAATCTCTTCAGACAACAGCAATTAATGGGAGGTGCTGAATATGACTTTTTCCCTGACAGCTTCCTCTTACCGTACGATTACAATGTTTTTGAACAGAGATGTAAGGAACAAGAGCTCTTCATTCTCAAACCATTCGCAAGTAGCTGTGGAAGAGGAATTAGCGTTTACAATACCAAGAAACAGGCTCCAATTCCACAAGACAAACGTATCCTCGCTCAGGAATATATTGCAAATCCATTGTTGATTAGCGGAAAGAAATTTGACATGAGACTCTATGTTCTTGTCTCCTCATATGATCCTCTTCGTGTTTATTTGCATAATGATGGATTAGCGCGATTTGCCACCGAAGAATACGACATGGAAAATTTGGATAGTGTATTTTCGCATTTAACCAATTACTCACTCAACAAAAAGTCTGATGCCTACGTGAGAAATAATGAAGAAGGAGAGTCAGAGGAGGATGGTTGGAATGAACATGCTCACAAATGGAGCATTCCATCCCTCAAATCATACCTCAAACGAAATGGATTCCCAGTCGAAAAGATTTGGGGTGACGTTGAATCACTCATTGTCAAGACATTAATTTCCGTTGAAGGAAGAATTAGACAAACATGTGACAAGGTCAAATTGCCAAGCACAAAGAACTGCTTTGAAATTTATGGTTTTGACGTCATGATCGACAACAATTTGAAGCCATGGCTCATTGAGGTCAATATAATGCCATCTCTAGGAGTGTCCTCAGTGCTCGATAAACGCGTGAAGGTCGATGTTTTGAGCGAAGCTTTCCATATTATTGGTATGGTTCCTTACTCGCGTTCGAATTACGAACAAGAGAAACAGAGCAAACTTCGTTATTATGGAGAATCTGTGAGTGCTCAAGAAAAGTACATTCTCCACGATAGTGAAGATGAATTGTCACGAATGCACAACTTTAAGAGAATTTATCCACCTGTGGATGGCAACCCTGGTCGATACGAGCATTTGTTTGCTGAGCATGTGCCATCGAATAAGATTTTGATCGATTTTGAAAAAGAAAAACTCAATCATAGTATTGAGTCTCTTCACAAACTCATTGCATAAAATTATTATACCATATCTCTTTACTTACCCACAGTGAGCATTATGTTTTCCATCTCTTTGTTCTTTCAAATGATCTAATCATGAAGTCGAATACATAGTTCAGTAAAGAAATTCGATGGAAAGAATGAAAACGATAGTTTTGAATTTTAAGCAGCAAGAGAAATTTCCAAGCCAATTTTGCTTGAAGCAGCAATGCTTTAATATTATACCCTGAGGTTCATTATAGGAGAGCGCTCAATAAGTCTTAATTTATTCATTCCCGCCAAAATCTTTACATTAAAAAAAAATTCATTAATAACATCCTTTGAATCCCTTTCAGTAACAATGACCGAGAATGAGGACACCACAACCTCGTCCTCATCAAATACCATTCAGATTCCGAATCAATCATCATCGAACAACATTTTGAATGATGCTTCGTTTGAGCCTGGCTCTCCTCAATTAAATGCAGATAAGAAAGAAGATGACAATGATGCTGCTATGGAAACGTTTGAAGGAACGCGTCTCAAATTTTTGTAAGTTTTTTAAAGCAACCGAATTGGATCATTAAAAAAAAATTCTTTTGATAAATCATTGCATCAACCCGATCATCATCATCAACAGCCACACTCTCGGATTTCGAAATATACCGCAAGCCATTCAACATTTGGAAAATGAAGAGGAAATTGTATATCTTGTCGGAAAACATGTTTCAATATTTAATTATGAAAAACGAACTCATACATTTATTTTGAAAAGTGGCAATGTTTTGGAAATTCATTCTTTTGCCATTTCCTACAACCGAAAATTTATTGCATTGAGTGAATCCATCAACTCTTCAGATTCCAAACGAAAGAGCCAACAAAATCTCAATCAAACCAAAGAGAGTTCTACCGAATATCAGATATCTGTCTACAACTTTCGAACAGCCAAACGAGCACGAGTACTCAATGTGGCAGGAACATCAAGAAAACCATCTCCAGTCATTTCAATGGCATTTTTCTCGAGATGCCAAATATTTGGCAGCAGTGACAGATGAGCCAGATCAATCCATTTATTTATGGCATTTAGAAAAATCAAACGTAAGTGTGCATTTATTGCATATTGAGATGTATATTTTGGAAACGATTTTTCGAATTATTTAATTCCACCTCTACATTCTCCACTTAACAATCTCATAGAAAGTATCAAGTAAAAAGATTCCCTTCCGTGTGACTCAAATCACGATAAACCCTTACTCACACTGGCAAATGGCGACGACAGGTCCCGACGACATGAAAATCTGGCGTTTCACAGAAGGAGAATTGAAGCATATCGACCCAATTGGAAGTGACAAGTATACCTATCGATGTCACACATGGTTCGATGATGAAAAACTACTTGTTGGTACAGAGGAAGGCCAAATTCTAGTGATCGATGGCAAAAATGTTGTCAAGACCTTCTCCAACGTACATCCGAATGCTTCTGGAATTTTGTGTATTGAGGCTATTGATCGAGGTTTTGTATGTGCTGGAGAAAATGGTTATTTCTCAGTATTTGAAAGAACCTATGACTCTGAATATTTTAATCACTACAAACGTTTCAGAACCTTAGAAAAACGAAAAATCGTCTCGCTATGTGTCTCTAAAAAAGAAAATAATGTGATTTGCTGCTACGATGACAACAAATTTACCTACTTTTCTTTAACAAATGTAGACATTTTGAAAGAAAATGATAACAATTTCACCTTGCTGCCCATTGGATTTCATGGACAGTTAGTGCAAGGATTGGCAACTTGTGTACAAAAACCTCTCATGGTCACATGTGGTTCTGATCGAACTCTTAGGATATGGAATTACATGAAGAGACAAGTAGAACTAGAGAAAACCTTCGACGAAGATATTTATTGTGTGTCTATGGATCCAACAGGAACAAGAATTTTGATAGGGTTTCGATACAAACTGAGTTGTTTTGCCATTTTATCCAAAGATCTCTATTTATTACACGATTGGCATGTAAAGAGTTGCAAAATTGCTACCTTTTGCAATGGAGGACAATATTTTGCGTGTGTCTCTGCCACATCCATTCTCATTATATCTTCTTTAACATTTCAAGTTGTACATACATTGAGAGGACATTCTGGAATCATCAAATCCATTGTTTGGGGGAAAGATGACATACATTTAGCATCTGCAAGTTTTGATGGAAGTATTTGTCAGTGGGATTTAGCTTCAGACAAGTTGAGAATTTTTGAAAATGTTGTCAAGACATGCAACTTTCGATGTGTCGCCTATGATAACAAAACAAATACATGCAGTGCTGTAGGAAATGATGGCAATGTGTGGACTTTTAGAAATGGAACACTCTACAGCCAAATACCGACACGAGAAGATTTAACTTCCATCATTTACAGTTCATATTCTGAGGTTGCAGTGGTTGGGACAACGAGTGGAAAATTACTATTGTATTCATGGCCTCCAGAAAAACCTGTCAACAATTTAGATAAGGCACTTCTCGAATACGAAGTACATAATGGCTCGGTCGTTTCATTAATGCTCACAAGTGATGAACGATTCCTTTTCAGTTTGGGTTCCGATGACACACTCTTTATGTTGGAATTGGACACGTGGAAAGATGGAAAACCAATTCAATTTAAAAACTTTGATTTTGACAAATTCTATGACTTGTACTATACACTAAAAGGAAGTGAGGAAGAAATTGAACAACAAATTGTCGAGCTGACCGATAAGTCAAAACAAGCTCATGACGACCACGAACGAAAGATTGAGCAATTGAACGATCAATACACCCAAGAGATGGAAAAACAACGCATTCAATATACAAACGAAATTAAGGAACTCAAACGTGTCAACAACCAACTCAAACAACAACTCGCAGATCAAGAAATTTCATTTAAGGAAAACTTGAACAAGATTGAATATACGCACCAAGAAGAAATTGATAAGGAACGGATCACTGCCGAGTCCAATGTTGCTGAATGTAAATCAAAATATGAGAAAGAAGTGGAAGGGTTGAAAGAAAAATTAGCCTACTTTGTCGACTTGGTTAAAGTCATGACCGAAAAACATGAAGAGGAAATTGAAAAACTCAAACAAGAGTATGAAGAAGAAAAACTTCAACTTGTTGAGACCTATGACAATTTGAGTCAAGATTTTAAACAGCTTTCGAGTGTTTATCAATCAACGGTTCAACAAGCAGAGGAAGACTTTGATACACAACTCAAACGAGTGAAAACATCACTCATTCACACCATTGAAAAACACAAACAATCTGTCATTGAGGCAAAAGGTGAAGCCGTCAAAAAAGGAACCAAAGTTGAAGAGCTCAAGAAGGAAATTGTGGCTCTCAAAAATAAGATTACGAAACAAGAAGAGAAAATTCACCAATTGGAAAAGAAGAATGATGAATATCGCACCACTATAGATACACTACAAGTTGACAAGAAGAAGCAAGAAGATGCTATTTTGATGCAAGAACGAGACAAGAAAGACCTCTTCCGTCAAGCCAAAGAGTTAGAACAAATGAGATATGTTCTTACATTTAAATTTAACAAACTCAAGAATGAAGTGTCGCCGAAGGAAAATCTCATTGCTGAGTTGCGAGAGGATTTGAAAAATATTGAAAAGGAGTTGTTACAAGCCAAGATTGAAAATGACAACTTGCAATCACAAATAGCTCAAAAGAATGAAAAAATTGAAGTCATCCAATCCGAATCTGTCAAACTGAAACAAACAGTGGATGACAAGACTCGTGTGCTCGTTTTACTAATTCAAGAATTATCCAACTTGACAAGTAATGGCGATTCAAAACTCACCAATGTACACCTCAAGAAAATTGTTTCGCGCTACAACAACATTCTCACGAAGGGAATTAAAGCAAATAACCAAGGAGAGAAATTGCGTGACACCATTGAGGAATTTGAACGACAACGTGGATTTTTAGAACAAACCATCTCAGGTATGAAGAGAACACTCTCTACACGTGAGGAACATTTGAAGGGCGACTTGGTTCGAAAGAATAATGAAAATTCTGTCCTTGTCGAAGAAATTAATCAATTACGAAAGGATCAAAAACAGTACAAACAACGCATCATTTCACTCGAATACCAATTGAAGAATGCATTACATTTCCAACAGCAACAATTACAACAACAACAAGGAAAGGAATTGAATACTTCCACTGCTGCATCGACCATCTCTTCAGCAAGGTCGAGACGTGCCGGAAGTGCCACATCTGTTCGGTCCTCTCTCAATAGAATTCGAACACCTGATACCTATTATGTGCCAATTAATACAGGATCCATGGTTGGTGGTGACCCAAACCTTAAGGGTGGTAATGTTGGATTATCGGATAACACCATTACAGGTCTCGATCGAAAGAAGGTTGCAGAATTTGTCGACAGTTTGGAAAAAAATAACAAACGATTCGAGCAGCAACAACAGGAAATTGACAAGCTTAAAAATTATGTACAAAATTTATTGGAAACTGAGGAAAATATCAACATGCAAGACCATACCATAGAAACAACATCTACAACACCAGCTGTGACGCCAACGATGGTTATTGAGAGCAGATCGAGTTCATCCGCAACCACAAGCTCCACTCCAACAGCCACCACGAAATTGGCACCTATTAAGCTCAATAAGAATGCTTAGAATGGCAAGGGTTTGGCATGAACACTGAAATGACATTAAACCACAATACATCAAAAAGAGGAGACGATCATCGACAACTCCCGAATCATTAAAGAATGAGATGAGTGCAACACAATACAGACAATAAAGCCTTTTAATGTATAGGATAGATCAGTTAAGGCATCAACAAGCCAGCCTCAAGAAATTCCTTTTCAAAACCAACTTTGATGGCGGTGTGTCTAGAAATTTTTGGTAAATCCTCTGAAAAGCCCAATTCTTTGAGAGTAGTTATGGCATTCTCAACAGCAGCCTTCTTGTCGATTTCTGACTCGGCATATTTGGTCACCAAGTTCAACAGCAAATAGTAACCATTTTCTTGATGGACTTTAGCAACTCTGAGTGGTTTGATCACAAATTCAGAGTTGGAACCAGAAGGAGCTGGAGATGAAGAAACACTACTCAAATATTCTGGCACATTTTGAGTGGAAGATGAAATGAGAACAATAGATTGTGAATTGCTCTTTCCATAAGCACGAGAAACTCTTGCTTCATAAACTTGTTGTGTGGCAGGGGCATCCAAGTGAATGACCAAATCTACGTTTGGATTCATTGGGCATGCAATGTTACTGCAGAAAGCAATACCATTTTCCAGTTCGTTGAAATAGCTGAAGGCAGTCATGGCTCTTGTTGGAGAAATACGGGAACTAATGAGAGAAGAAAACAGATTATTTTCTGCCATTAAATAGTGTGCGTGAATGATTTTTGCCGAGTCGCCAAAAACTGCAACCTTCTTGTGCTTATTTTCTGATAAAATACCATATAACACCTTCAATTGTTCGGCAGTGTTTTGTGTCTTGATGATTGATTGTTTCACGTTGTGCTTTGTGATAGTTTCTTCACTAGTAAGAACTTCAACATTTTCAGAATTTCTCAAAAATTTAGAAAAGACGCCCTCCGTGTCATTGATAAAAATTCTCTTAGCATTTGGTGAAATATTCTCTGGAGTAAAGATTTGGTCCATCATGGAAGCCATTGAACCCTTGAGCATGGAACAATCGTCAACAATAACAATCTTGACATTGCGGAAGTAATCAGAGTTCTTCAAATGTTCTAAAAGTCTTCCAGGAGTTGCAATAATAATCTCAGGTTCGCTCGCATCGAGCAAAGTAATTTCCTTTTCAAGACTTTTTCCTCCACATGTAATTGCATACGACAATCCATAAACATTTTCTCTACGAGTTTGTGAATGTTCATAAGCTTCATAATCATTGTATTCCTCAATAATTTCATGACCTTGCTTTATGGAGGCATTTCTATTGTAGACCTCTAGAGAGGGTTTTTCAACAGAGATATTTGGACGTTCACTTTCTGGTAATGAATTAATGTATTGATCGACTTGTCTTCCAACTGCGAGTGCTGCTTCACGTGATGGGACAATAATCAAAGCACGGAAACCTGGTCGTTCCTTCCATCTCTCCTCACGGATAGCCTTTGTAACAACTTCAAAAGTGGGGATTAGGTAGGAGAGAGTCTTTCCGGAATAGAGTGGTGCTTGAATGAGAACGTCCTTATCATTCTCAGAGGATGAAACAACCTCCAAGGCTTTGTTTTGGAATGAGGTGAGTGAGGGAATTGCAAATGTGGAAGCAACTTTTCCGAGGTCTGTTGTGGTGGAAGTTATGTTTTACCAATTTGGTTATATTATTGAATGTTGGGGTTCGTGAATGATATATACCATTGCCACCAAATGTGGATGGAACAAGGAAGAAGACAATCAATGAGATATTCAAGTTTTTGATTGATTGGACAATGATGAGCAATAGGATATTGATGATGATGACAAAGATGCGATGAATTCATTAAAAAACGACATTAATTGAATGAATTTGTGTTTCATCATGGTGATGATGATATTGTGATATCGTATGATGATGAAAGCATAATTTGAAGAATTGACAAGTGCAATATTAATAAATTTCATTCAAAAAACCCATTGATGTTCATCATCATCATCATTTGTTCATCATTGAATGTTGTCATTTGTTGTTTTTTGAATAATTAATGTCAAAATATTCCAATTTCATTCCGTGTAAATAATAATAACAACTCAAAGTTGTATGATTTGAGCATAACCTACCAATCTGATAGAATCGCACCGAAGAGTGAGTCTTCCACAAAGCAGCAGTACTCAATGAGCGAGAACATAATTTAGTGAAACTCTTCATTTTTTCTTTCAACAAACCCGCTGCCCGCATATGGCCGAGTGGTTTTTCTGGAACTGTGGCAGCCAACTGGTCCAGCGTTCGAATCCCAGGGGTTGCTGCTGTTATCGTGAGCAGTTTAAACACCTTTACTTCCGGGGTGCCTGCTAGGAAGTCACTACGTATCTTACGTTCGGCTTGTAAATAATGTACATAAAACCATCGAACAACGTTTATCATCGAATAAACCCATCCCTGAATTTTTTCTTTCAACAAAATTTATACCAAGCATCGATGAAAAGAATAACAGGATATTTAATCATTATTATTAATTAATACTATAAATTATTGTTGGGTGAGAACGACAAAGGTAGAGCTTTTGGAAAGAGCAATATGATAGGTGGTTGATGGCGTGGAGGGTTGGTCGTTAAATTTAATTTGTAATTTTTTCATGGACTCTCCCGAATTGGTGGACGAGAGAAGACCATTCACATCTTGCAACATGAAATGGATGTGAGTGAGAAGCTCCGGTTGACTCTTTAGAATTCCTTCACTCTTTAAGATGATAATTCCATTCATCAAAATGTTGTGTAACGGAAATGTCCAAAAAATCAAATTAACGTTGTCATGACATAATACGGTTCCATCATTAGGTCAACCAATTATTGAATCTACCTACATGGATCACCGTTCCATTTGTGTTATCAATCACTCCGTATCCCTTTTGTCCTTCAATGCCTTCCAGGCTCTGCAAATTGTAAGAAGTCTTTGCTTGTAAATCTCGTGAAAGAAGACTCATTTTTCGTGTTGTTGCAGCACGTTCAAAAAATGTCTTCGGTAGGTATTGAGTTTTTCAATTTTTCATTTGCTGATAAATCTTTATTTCACCTCTGTTCATTCATTCATCATCAATTGATTTGTTGTGTTGAACAATGTAAAAAATATATATGGATGAATATAATTTTGATCTGAATAATTACAAATGCCGTTGTTCTGATCCATGCGGAATGATGATACTACATTAATATATGTTGATGATGATGATTAACTATCTAAAATTAATCTCAACAACACAACAACAACACAACCGCGACCTGCACCGTATTGAATTGAACAACCACAATAATAATCGTGGTGAAATATACACACGTTTTGAATGAAAATATACATCTTTTCGGAACTGTATCGGATTCATCATGATGATGATGGACCACCAACTACCATAATCACTCTAACACTAGATCGATCTAGTCAATCCTAAGCCTTTCCTCAACGAATCGATAGGAAAACCTGTCGTTGTTAAACTCAAATGGGGTATGGAGTATAAAGGACTTTTAAAATCAGTGGATCACTACATGAATTTTCAATTGGCAAATAGTGAGGAATGGATTGATGGTTCATTCAGAGGAAACCTCGGAGATTTGTTAATCCGGTGCAACAATGTCTTGTACATTCGTCAAGTTGATCCAGAAACTGAGGAGAAGGAATATAATGATCCAAAAGCAACATCCTCACTTTTGAAACAACAACAACAAGGCAATGATGGAAATGCAACAGTTTCACAACAAAACCCAATGCAAGAATAATTTATTGATATCAAATTTTGAGAATATAAATTCTCACTCTTCCCATTATCCTTTGTGGTTTCTTTGTCTTTCAATTTTTACACCTGCACGGATGTCCATTGTTTTCTTCGCTCGCTTCAAATGTTCAACATCTCGGTTTGGACTCTCATCTTGCAAAGAGGAACCCTCACTTGTCAACACACAAAAAATTATCGAAACATTAAAAACTTCCAATTCCATCGGTGAAATCCATTATTGTTGCACAACAATCAGTGATTGATCATTCAGCAAAATGCCCTACAACGAAACAGAGATCAAGTGTGTGGTCGTGGGAGATGGTGCCGTCGGTACGTTGTTGTCCTCGATTGTTTTCATGATGGCAAGATCAAAACCTTTCAAACTCTCAATTATTTTGCCGAATCATGATTTATGAACATTTATCACCTTTTATCATCACCAACAACATTATCATCATCCATATCAGGCAAGACATGTCTGGTATGTATCTCATCATGTTCTTTTTTTTGTTCTTATACAAGGAATTCCATCATCATCACCACAATGAAACTATTTTTCAATTTGTCCAAACTTTACTGTATGGTTTGAAAACATCATTGTCACTAACACTTACAAAACAACAACATCAACCATTCGAATCCTTCTCTCTCATAAAACACCACTTTTTACCAAACGTTGACTCACAAAATGTGGTCACAATCCATCATCCGTCACACAAATGGAACTTGCAAATATTTCTCTTTTTTTTGGTGTTTTTTCATTCATCGATTTTGTTTGTAAATACTTCCATTTTGTGAATACTTTTTGTCACATCAGGTCAAAGTCTATGTCGATAACAAATTTCCAGAAGGATATATCCCAACTGTTTTTGAAAATACCTATCTCATTCAGGAATATAGAGGATTTAAAGTAAATCTTGGAATATGGGATACAGGTGAGTTGGATTTGATGTACTGGAATTTCATGACAATTGTGTTAACAAAAATGAATTTGAATGACCACTCGATCCTCGAAAACAGCTGGTCAGGAAGATTAGTATGTATTCAATTTCAATTCATCAACTCTCTATTGAATGACTTACAATTCTTTTGTTCTTGACACAGTGGTATGTAATTCCTTTTTTGGATTAGAAATTTGATTGAAAAAGATTTCCATGTCCAAATTTCATAATTGAACTCTTATTTGACAACATTGGGAATACATGAATAGATCGTCTGAGGCCACTTTCCTATCCAGGTGCCAACGTCATTATCATTTGTATAAGCGTGGTTGATCCAAATCCTTTCGAAAATGTCAGAACCAGATGGTTGCCAGAAGTCACACATCACTGCCCACATGTTCCCATTGTTTTAGCAGCCACAAAAACAGATCTTCGTGAGGATCCAGCTTCATTGAAACTCCTTCAACAACGAAGTTGCAAACCTGTCACCACTCAAGAAGTTGAACAATTTGCCAAAGAAATTAAGGCCTTCTCATTTCAAGAATGTTCAAGTAAATTGAATAGTGGAATTAAGGAACTTTTTGAAAAGTGCATACAAGCCGTATTATTTCCAAATGAAGGAAAGGAAGGGTCTAAAAAACAAGAGGAATCAAAGAAGAAGAAGGATTGTCTCATGATGTAATTACACGATTTTTCAAACATAAATCCGTATGTTCTGAATGATGAGGAGAGGACAATTGTCCTTTTCATGAACTCGAGCCTGAAATGCATCCAACTGTCACTTGCCAACAGTCACCATTCTCTTATGCATTTGCAACGCAGTTTTTGGGTGACGCAAACCAGTTTCGCTGGAGAAAAGAACTCCAGTTTCGCTGGACTAATTCTAGTCCATTATCCAAGCGAATCTCAACTCACTCCAGCGAAAAATCTCGTTGCGCACACATAAGACCTCTGTGGTGACGCACTTCTCAAGTAAAAATTTCAAAAAATGGCTCAAAGTTCTGATCAAGGTTCCAATTCTTTCATCACCAAACGTGTGTGCATTGTCGGTTGCGGTTCAAGCGGTCTCAGTGCCATCAAAGCTCTCCTCGAATCCAATTTCACACTCTTTCCCGATTCCGTTCCTTCATATCCACTTTTTCAAAATTCAAAAGACCATCGAACGATGGATTGCACCTTTCCGAAAAGAAACTCCTCGAATTCGAAGGAAAAACCAAGTATTCTCTTTGAACCTGTGTGTTATGAAGCCACTAATGATATTGGAGGATTGTGGAGATTTTCCGAGAATGAAAGTGAATTTTCTTCCGTCTACAAATCGACAGTGATTAATACGAGTAAGGAAATGATGAGTTTTTCGGATTTTCCAATACCAGATGAGTTTCCTCCGTTTTTACCACATTACAAGATTATTGAGTATTTTAAAATGTATGCCAATCACTTCTCATTGTGGAAATATATTCAATTTGAAACTCGGGTGGTATCAATTACTAAAAAAGGTGAAAAATATCTTGTGAAAACTGTAAAACAAGCTAATAGTAGCAATGACACGGATACCACTCGCCTTGTCGAAATGGAAGAAGAATTTGATTTTATCATGGCCTGTACTGGACATCACTCAAAACCTCAAATGGCTCACTTTGAGGGTTTAAAAGAGCATTTCAAAGGCCATGTCATGCATTCACATGCCTACAAGGACCCATTCAAAGAAGAATTTTTAAATAAGAATGCTCTTGTGATTGGTATCGGCAATAGTGGTGGAGATATTGCCACAGAATTGGCCAAAAACGTTGCAAAAAGTGTCACACTTTCCACTCGTTCAGGAACTTGGATCATTCCAAGAGAATCTCTGTTTGGTTCTCCTCTCGATCATGTTCCTCGTTATTTATGGTTGTTACCAACTGTTGCTTTACAATTTGTCATGGAAAATACTATGAAGTTATTTTACGGAAATATTGAAGGAGTGGACAAAAATTTGCAACCTCGGCATCACTTGCTGAGTTCTCATCCAACCATTAATAGTGAACTCGTTGGAAAGATTCGAACTGGAGTCATTAATGTTCAACGGAATATTTCCAAGTTTTTAAATGACGGTCATTCCGTTGAATTTGAAGATGGAACCGTTGTTCACAATATTGACACAGTAATTATGTGTACAGGTTACAAAATTGAATTCCCATATTTGAATGAAATTTCTGAGGACTTGTCATTGTGTCATCGCGACGACAATCAAGTACATATATACAAGTACATGTTCCATCCGTCACATCCTTCCATTGCATTCATTGGATTGGTTCAACCTTTGGGAGCAATCATGCCTATCGCAGAATTACAATCCAGAATTGCTGCTCAAGCCTTCCGTGGTGACTGTCACTTGCCATCCGAAACAGAAATGAAAGCGGATATCGAAATGAAAAAGAAGGAGATGCAAAAGAGATATCTCAACTCTAAACGACATACCATTCAAGTCGATTACACACTCTACATGGACGAACTTGCAGAAATGATTCAAGTCAAACCATATTACTTGCACTATCTTTTCACAAACCCAAGATTGGGTGTGAAATTACTGAACTCACCAGCATTTCCAGTCACGTATCGAATTGAAGACGATTCTCCATTTGTGAATGCGACACAACGTCAAAAGGAACGAGAACAAGCCATTTCAACTCTTCAAAAAGTTTCCTATGATTTATTTTCAGAGAATTATCAATCCAATCCCAATGACAGAAAGAAATCGATTCAAGAAAGAGAATCATTCTTGATTGTTGTCTGGTTGCAAGCAGTGTTTCTGTTGTTCGTTTATGTGATTTATTTGTTGAGGAGAAGATGGAAATATTGAATATTTACCTAAAAGTTGTCGCAGAGGGGAACAAGTGAAATAATTCATTAAGGTGAGGTCAACCTAAGGAGCACCTTAATACTTTTGAATTTGCAGTTGTTCCAATACAACGACACTAATAGGAATAGGGCGGATCGTTTTGAAAAAAATTTATTGAGGTATATGTACACCGAATCCAGTTGGGATTCTAACTAAGGACACAAGGTCCTTAGTCTTCAATCTTGTCAGAGTAGTAGTACTTGGATTTCAGGCCAATTCCTTTCAATTGCTGCATCACTATCTGGAGGTAGGAAACCGGAGTGATGGACGTAGAAAATGGGACGATGTGGATTAAACCACGAATTCGAATCTGTGATTGTACATGGTTGGAAATCAAAGAAGAGATCTTCATTTCACAGAGTTTTGAAAAAAAATGCATACTTGTTATGCAGTTCGTTGTTCGCGCGCGAAATAGCGAGTACTCGCACCTTTTTCGGACAAGTTCACTCAACAAAAAAAAATGCTCAACAACAAACTCATTCCCTCGTCATCCGCATCATCGGATCAAGCACAGAGAGATCTTGAAACTTTTCCAAGTTCATCCTCAACACCACCAATTAAAATTGGAGTGAGTGAGATGAACAATGCACTGATTCAAATGGCTTCCGATTGTCAGAATATTTTAATTGCCGGTTGTGGTGGAGGCTTTGACATTTATTCGGGATTGCCTTTGTATTTTGATTTGAAAGCAATGAACAAGAATGTTTATTTGGCGAACTTGGCGTTTACCGATTTGAGTCGTAAGTTGAATTCATGAATGAGTAGTTGTTGTTGTTGTTGTTATTGAATACGATCATGTCAACTTTTATCACAACACAACTGATCCGTCAATCTCAAAATCTCAATCATTCGCTTTAATAATTATTATTCACTGCTCAATAGGAATGGATAAGAATACGGAGAATATTGAACTTGCATCATATCCGAACAAAAACGTTCTTTATGCTGTTCATGCAGAATCGAACAATCATGATTTGGTCTATTTTCCTGAAAAGTATTTGTGTGAATTTTTAAAGAAGAATGGTATTGATGAGAATCCAGTTGTTTACACATTTGATAGAGGTACTGGGGTTATAGGAATGACTGAGGGTTATGAAATTATCATTCAGAGACATGGTATCGAATTGATGATCTTGGTAGATGGTGGAAATGATTCGCTGATGAGAGGAAATGAGGAAAAACTTGGCTCGCCTCATGAAGATAGTAAGTATTCTTGTGTTCTCATTGCATATATCGAAATGATCATTCATGATTGTACTGCTTCATATGATTAATTTAATTGTCACATCTGCGCATAGGCATGAGCATTGCGGGAGTTTATGCAATTTCTGAGAAAATTCTTCCAATGGACAAAAGAATTATGGCTTGTATTGGTTTCGGAGTTGATTATTTCCATGGAGTTCATTCTTCTTTATTTTTTGAAAATACGAGTAGTATCATTTCACAATACGAAGGTGGTTTTAAAGGAGCTTTTTCTGTCTTGAAAGAATGGAATTGTTTTTTACTGTTCAAACAAGCATGTGACTATGCTTTCAAAAAGATGTCACACAATGCATCCATTGTTTCAAGTTGCATCATTGCTGCCATTGAAGGACATTATGGTAATTATCATCCACCAGATATTAAGGAGCGAGTGAAATATTCAACCTTGCACATTAACCCATTGATGGGCATGTATTGGGTTTATTCAGTGAAAGCTGTCGCCAATCAATTAATGTATTTGAGTTTTATTAAGGACTCTCGTAGCATGAAAGAGGTTTCTGATGGTTTACAAAAGTACAGAACGACCTTGAAAACATTCAGAAAACCATCTCCTTTTCCTCATTAAGGCCACTCATTTTGCACAATATATGATTCAAAAAAGAAAGATCAATTTTCAATGTTTCCAAAACATTCAGTTTTTTAGCATTCTAACAAAAATATTTTAACCTCCTTTTGGTTTCACAACCAATCTCAAACAAGTATAGGCAAAGATATGATACACCAGGATGAGAGCGAGACCCAATCCCAAGTTAATCCAAGTCACCGACATCACCGTGTCCATTTCCAAATTCTCCAACACAGCATCACCATTAGGAAATGGGCAGAAAGAAGAGGAAGGACACTCCAGCTTCAATCCCTTAAACTCATTAATGACAAATGACTCGAAAACAAAGTGGAAAATGCTGGTCCAATAAATCCAAATAAAATACACTGGAATAGTTGCCAAGTTCTTATAAAATCCTCCAAATAACATGAGCTGGATAACAGATCAATTCATTAAAAATTTTCCATTCCACATAATCAATGAACATTGCAAGGTGTGCAAGGTCACAAAGATTTCAATTATGATATCCGTTATTACCCATTACATTTCACAAACATTTCAAGATGAAAACTTACCACTGTTGCCACTACAGGCATGATTGTAAAGGCCACCCCAGGATTTGGAGCAAAACTAGCAATGGCACATCCTAAAGCTTGTCCTGTCAGACTCATGACCACAATAATCAAAATAAACATGAAAAATCTCTCGACTGCAGCATTCAATCCTAGCCACCAATAAATCACCGAGCCAAACAAGATCGGATAAAACACTGCTCCTGGAATATCTGCTACCACACGTGCTAAATAAAAGCTACTCACATGATACATTTTCGCTCCACGTTCTCTCAATAAGACTGGTTTATCCTGAAGGAGAATATTCAATGAGGAGGATAGACTTCCAAAAAACAAGTTACTAGTCGAGAAGAATAACACTCCCAATCGATCCTGAACGCCCGTTTGTCCATTATTCAATCTCAAATAAATTAATCCAAGAAGGAAGGCAGTTGAGACTTGTTGTGAAAAACGGGCCATATTAACACCCTTATTTCGAATGGTATTAAGGAAGGCTCTCATGAGAACCACGAAGAATTGATAGAACCAATTCGAGTTATATTTTGATGATTTCTTGAGTGTGGTGAGTTCTGGCTCTCCTTCATTTTGTGACTGCAATAAAGTCTTTTCCATTATTTGAGAATTCTCCTTTTTCAATTCTGAATCGGAATAGAAGGACAAGATTCGTTCAATACGTTTCTCTTGTTCAACTTTAAATCGTTTTCCCTTTTCTGAATTTTCTGAAGCAAGAGCTGGATTTTCTGTGACCATGTCCATGACGAAATCAGCTGGATTGAACTCTTCAGGACATTGATATCCAATTTTTTCAAAATAAGGAATGACTTTGTGGGCGTCACCAAAATAGGCAATTTTGCCACGTGCCAACAATAATAGACGATCAAACAATTGAAAGATATCACTGCGAGGTTGATGAATCGTCAACACAATTGTTCTTCCATGTTGTTGAGCCAAACGATTGATCAATTGAATTACATTCAAACTTGTTTTTGCATCCAAACCTATTTAAGAATAACACGAATTCATTTGATTTAATTCATTTTGAATAGGATCATAACATGAAAATTGACATGATTTGGGTCATAGGATATAAATCATTATCCTGTTCTCACTCACAGACTAGTACAAGTACTACTACTTACCTGTCGTTGGCTCATCCAAAAACAACACACTCGGTTCCGTGAGTAACTCAATGGCAATACAGAGCCGTTTTCTCTCACCTCCCGAAATTCCTTTCGAAAGTCCAGGAAGTCCCACAATCGTATCGGCCACTTTGGAAAGTCCCAATTCCTGCATGATGGTATCCACTCGTTCCATCTTGGCCTTATTGGGAATTGAGGAATCTAAACGGAGAAGAGCTGTATAACGAAGGGTCTCTCGGACGGTGAGATTAGGCAACAGGACATCATCTTGTTGAACAAAGGCACTGATGGATCGAAAGGCTTTTCCTGCTTTGGATTTATTGGCGAGGAGAGAGCCACTAGTGGGTTTGACTCGTTGAGAGAGAATATTGAGGAGAGAGGTTTTACCCTGTTGAAGATGATGCGGTTTAAG